TATCTATCTATCTATCTATCTATCTATCTATCTATCTATCTATCTATCTATCTGAGACAAGGTATCTCATTGGACAGGAGCTTGCCAAATAGATAGGCCCCTGGCTAACAAGCCTGTGGTATCTACCTGTGTCTACCTCCCCAACTCTGTGTGCTACCATGCATGGTTTTTAAAAAATGCAGGTTCTAGGGATCAAGTTCAGGTTCTCATGGTTGTGCTACGAGCACCTTTGTAACTGAGCTATCTCCTGGCCCTTGCACTAAATTTCTAAAGTCAGTATTTAAAATATTAACAGATGAGGCCATGCATGTTGGTATATGCTTTTAATTCCAGCACTCAGAGGCAGGCAAATCTTTAAGTTTGAGGCTAGCCTGGTCTACAGAGCAAGGTCCAGGACAGCCAGGGCTGCATAGAGAAACCCTGACTCAAACAAACAAAGGAAAATTAACAGCCTACTTTCTCACTAGGTCCCTTGGGTAAAAACTAGGCCTTCTACAGGAAGACCAGCTAGCCTGGACCATTGAGGGATCTCAGAGTCTGGACCACCAACCAAAGAACATACACATGGCTGGACCTAATACTCCCTGAACACATGTAGCAGATGTGCAGCTCAGTCTTCGTGTGGGTTTCCCAACAACTGGAGTGGGGGCTGTCCAAAAAGCTGTTGCCTGTTTCCTAACTAGGTTGCCTGGTCTGGCCTCAGTGGGAGAAGATGTGCCTAGCCCTGCAGACATTTGATTGCCAGGGTTCGGGGATGGCCAGGGGGTGGGTGGGGGGAATCTCCACCCTCTTAGAGGAGAAGGTGATGGGTGGGAACTGTGTGAGGTGGGGATGGGGGAAAGGGGCAGCGATCAAGATGTAAAGTAAATACATAAATTAGTTAATGGAGAAAAGAAAAAAACAAAAACAAAAACAAAAAAACAGATCTACGCCTTCTGTACCAGGAATATCTAGTTGAAACTTTCCATTAAAAACAAAAGTGAAGGCACCACAGCTGAGAGATGTGGAACAGCAAGTTCTAGGATGCATGGCTGGTTAGTGGCAGGGGTGGGAGTTAGATTCTGGCTTCTTGGCTTCCAGATTTCCTATGTTATTACAACTGGCAGCCACCTACCTAGTAATGGACTTTTGGTATACATCTGGTTGCTCCAGGCATACCTTCCCACCCCTTCCACACCGTACAAGATGAGCAAAGCATCGAACCTGTGCGGCCGTCTTACTCAGTTCAGAGGCAATATCTGCGGCTGAGTTTCCTATTCCAACCACCAGGACGCGTTTCCCCTCAAACCCAACTGGGTGCTTGTATTGGCGGCTATGGAAATACTGGCCTTGGAACCTCTCGATACCTTCAGGAGGAAGAAGAGGGAAACTGTGAGCTTCCAAGTAAACAATTATGACAAGTTAATTTTAATGAAACTCCATGGTTAGCTTTCTTTTTCTGATTTCTTACTTCCTCTCTTACAGAAGTTATAGTAGTCAATTACTAAACTCTAAGTATAAATTCCATAAGAAACAAAAGGTCCATGTGAGAGGCTGGAGTATGTGTATTCAAACAAATGGCTTTGCTGTACAGAGCACAGCTTAATGTCTCTCTAGCTATTCTATTTTCGACAGTCTAATGACACTCTAGTTTCACACAGTAGATACATTTAAAGCTATTTTGAAATAATGCTATTGTAATTGTGCAATAATTAGAATAGTATTTATCATTTTGCAAAGGCAAATCAAAATGAAAAGACTCTAAATCAAGGCCTACAGAAGGCGTTCCTTGAGCAACTCAGTAAGCATTTGACTGTTAACTGCATGTCCTTCCAACTAGCCACTTCTATACTTCCCAGGAATATATAGTTTTACTAAAGAGTTCTTTGATTTTAGTGTGGGTGATTCTCATATGGAGCCTGGTTCTGAGCCACTGTGTCAGATATTTACCCAGAGGACTCTGGGAAGGAAGTTCTCTCTGAAGGAGGGCTGGGACATCAGGACAGCTGGCTTCAGGGATCTACTCCTTCATTCCTCCCTTCATCTCTGCCCTACCTCAGTGTATATTCCTAGGACTTCTTTCTAGTAACCGTTGACAGGTAGAAAAGGCTCCATGGACGGAGCAAATTTACATGGGTTTGTCAGGACAGAGCAATCGGGTAGGCAAATGGTTAAAAGGGCCTCTCATAGACAATGAAGTTTAGTAAGAATTCTTAGCATTTCTAGGAAAAACAAACGATGCTGGAGGAAGTTAGCTGAGCTAACTTCGTCAGACTCAGAAAAATCAACAGAAACAAAGACGGTGGTTGGCATTTTTCAGCTCCCCAGCTGAATCCCAATCTTACTTTTATTCCCATTCATAGCAGCAAATCCTGTCTGTCCATTAAAGCATGCATGCGAGGCTCCTGGAAGCCTACTGCTACAGGCTGAGAAGCCCTGAAGCCTCACCTGGAAACGACTTGAGTGGCAGGTGAGGCTGGATGTGATGGCCACTGCAAACCATAACAGCGTCAAAGACAGCACGCTGCTCCTTGCCATTGCTCTGAGTATAAACTTCCCATTGCCCAGAAGATGCGAAATCTGGGCGTTTTTTCACACTGATGACGGTTGTCTTGAACAAACACAGAGAAGGCATCGTTAGTTACTCTGGCAGGGCCTTGCAAGTAGGGATGTGGTGACTGTAATGTGTAACCCATTTGGTTTTCTTAAGTTCACAGCCTGTCTCTAAAGGCAAACTTTGTCAAGTGGACTCTTCGTATTCTTTGGCAGGCAAACACAGGATATCCTTAGAAGACTGTCAGTCATAGAATGGATCTATCAGGAATTGGACGGGAACCGTAGGAAGTAAGACTGAACATTTCAATGCTATTTACATATATAGATTCCATGAGAATCAGCTGTTATAAATTAATATAAAACAATCCGGTACTTATAAAATTAAATTGCTAAAAACTTGCAATGTATTAAAAATAATCCCCATTAAGGTACTTATTCAGAACAATTTTAAATTTAACAATGCAGCATGCTAATGATAACATGTGTTTCTATGCTGTTGTTCCTGTTTGTAGAAACTACAGGAAATGGTAATTCCAAGCATAATTCAAAATGATCTGATTTTCTGTCGGTGTAGATAACATGGAGAAAAAAAGTTGGGAAAAATAGTTACCACTTGTACCTGAGATCAATGGAAAATAGAAAGTATGTTTAACCCATTTCTATGAAGAACTTTAAAAAAAATACAGTTTGACACACTTTCATATTATTCTTTCAAGAGATAGGAGACTTAGAGATACCAGTGCTAGCAGTGGTTAAAATATAGTTTTAGCATTATCATCATTTAAACTTTCAATTGTAATGGATGACTTTTCACTCTTGTTTATATGTAACATCAAAAGTATCAGGAGTCATGAGTACTTTTTGGGTGTAATACTATGCTTTTGGCTTTCAACAAACCCACCAAAGTGAGATAGTTTAATTTATTGCCAGAGTCCCTGTTCTATTAGAACGTGAACTGAGCGGAGGCAGAGAAATCACTTCCCACTATGAAACACAAAATCCACTTCCCACCATGTACAGTACCTGAAACTGAATATATTTTAGGAGATCAAATTTCTTGGCAAAGATCCTGAAATATTCCAGGAGTTTAGAGTTGTGCAGGAAGTTGGGGAAATCCTCCGGCATTGGGAAGTCACTAAAGCAGGACATTTCTTTGCTAGTGTTGGTGATGACAGAGTGGTAGATGCTAGCTCGGCCATCTTCCACGTTTTCCTAGAGTGGCAAGAAAAAGAAAAACAGCGGTAATGATTCAACACAAGTCTTACTTGTATCAAGAGTCTTCTTCTGGGGGGAAAAAGTCTTCTTCCGGAATCTTAAGTCTTCAGTGCGGTGAATCGCTTTCCCTGCTGTATCCTGACTTAAGCACCTGCGTGCTGAGGGGAAGCATGTGTAGCCTTGTAGCCTGTTGTTCTGGGTCAAGAACCTGTTCATTGCCAACTAGTGCTGCTCAGTGGATGTGCTATCGGCGCTAGTGGGGTTTGAGGGAGAGACAAATGATTTTTGGAACTAAGCTACGCAACCATAAGGTACATGCAGAGGACCTACCCCAGACCCATACCGAGCCCACGTCTACTGCTTCAGTCTCTGTGAGCCCCTATTGCTTAGTTGGTGCTGTAGTTGTGTTCTGGTCTTCTCGACCCCTCTGGCTCCTATAAGCCTCCCTCTTCTTCTTCGGGGTTCCCCTGGCTCTGCCTAGTTTTTGGCTGTGAGCTGTGGTGGGGGGGGGGAGAGACCCCACTGTGGATGATGTCATACCTGGGCAGGTGGGCCTGAGCTGTATAAGAGCAAGTTGAGCAAGCCAGTAAACAGAGTTTCTCTATAGTCTCTGCTTTAGTTTCTGACTCTAGGATCCTGCCTTGTGCTTCTGCCTGACTTCCCTTGATGATGGACAGTAACCTATAGGTAGAAATCAACGTTTTCCTCCCCGAGCTGGTTTTGGTCAGTGTTTTATCACAGAAACAGGAAACAAACTAAAACATCAACTGATCCTTAAACCTGGTTTTTAATGTTCACAATTGTGCCTCGGTAAAAATCCCATATAGCACGTTATGATTGAATTAATATTTTCTTCTAAAGTCATGCTCTGTACAGTATCCTTCATGTAAATTTAAGTAAATAGCCAAGATTGAAAATCAGAGCTTATAAATCAATTTGTGACCAGAGAGGCTTTTATTAGAAAATTTAAATATTGGTACCCAAGAACTCTTAGGTAGGTGCTTCTGTGTTTACAAAGACTAAGCTATTAATCTAGAAAAATAGTAATTGCTACTTGACTATGTGTTTGGGTGGCTGTAAAGATGGTAATGTTTGTAGAAACTCCTTAACTAAAAGAGATTATTTAGTCTTGCTTGTACGGCACCATAATCTCTTATGCAGAGAAGTTCAAAAACAAAAATGAAACATTCACTTGCAATCCAACCAGAAATTTAAATCAAGCATGCATGTTTCTTTCTTGTAATTTTTTTTGTAACTTTTTTTTTTTTTTTTTTGGTTTTTCGAGACAGGGTTTCTCTGTGTAGCCCTGGCTGTCCTGGAACTCACTCTGTAGACCAGGCTGGGCTCGAACTCAGAAATCCACCTGCCTCTGCCTCCCAAGTGCTGGGATTAAAGGCGTGCGCCACCACCGCCTGGCTTTTGTAACTTTTGTTAATAGAAAATTACTCCTTGCCTTCCAAGATTTTCAGTTTCTTAGTTTTTGGCATCATTAAAAGTGGTCATCTGAGATGGATATGTCACCCTGGGGTTGCTGCCTGAACTACACAATGAACATTAAGCCAGCCACAGGTAGATATCAAGACTCCATCTCAAAAAATGTATGCATAAAGAAATAAAACAACAGAAAATGAAAGATGAAAGAGGTAACCAGGACTAGAAGAAGATGAGCTTAGTCTTCCAAGTTAGATGTGGGCATCAACACATCTCTTTCTCTTTAAAGAGAAAAGTCTGGACCAGTCTGTGCCTCTCACTTGTGAGACAGGGATGTGAGCCATTGTTCTGAAGATGCCAGCCATTAATCCTCAACTTTGATACTACCAGAGCTCACTGTGGCATTGAAGGTTAATTATGGTATCAGTTGCTCTGCTGATAAAAAAGGAACTGGTACAGTTCTCGCTATTACACATGGATGTTCTGCAAGAGAGGTTGTACTTGATCTGGGTGAGTTAACAGAAGAGCGTGCTCATGTGACCTGTTGTTCACTGAGTAGAAAGTTCTTGGCATACGGGGCCTCACTGGGTCTTAGTATCAGGGTTGTCTTCAGTGTATACTCACTGTCAGGGCAGGTTGTTCAAGAGAAATATTCAGAATTCTTGCTAAACATAGATTTGTTTATAAATATTCTCCTCCTTTACCCCTTCTTCTTCTTTCTTCTTTCCCCCTTTATTCATTGTTCATTTTTCTCTTCTCTTGTGCCTATAAGAAGACTTTCCCCATGAGCTGTGTGTTTATTTTTTCTGGACTAGAGTCTTAACTTGGATAATAACCCTGTCCCAGTTGCAGGTGGTGTGGGCAAAGATATCCAGAGCAGCATTGGAAGTTTTTAGAGTCTGCTGGCCTCCAGATGGAGAGGGTTTATAGTGGTCTAGTTGTGAACTACCTGTACATAGAGAATTAAAAAATGCATTAGAGTAGAATGAAGTATTTTTCAACTTACACAAAGGAATGCAGTGATTTGAACCTTAGTTTCAAACCCAGCTTCAGATTGCATAACACGACTCTCATTACGTTATATAAACTTTTTTTTCCTGGTTGTTTGGTCATTGAACACAATGTCCTTGGCAAGACTGAATACTTGGGGTTTCTTAGCCACCACAGTCTTAAAATAGGAAATATTTCATTAAGCAAAGAAACGTGTTTCTCCTCCGCTCCTCCCACACCTCTCAAGACTATATAATTTTGAGTAGTGCAGAGTAAACAGTAAGGGTCCTGTGAAGACGCTGAAGAGGCTGATCCCCCTGCCTCTTGTAATACTCCTGCAAAGACAGACAAGTTACACAATCCAGTTTCTTCACGTTTCCATGTAAAGTAGGATTGGTCAACAATGCAAACATTAAACAGTTTCGAGGTTTACAGATATTAGATAAAGTGCCCAATGCCTGCCTCCAAATCTGCGCTCAGTCAATGTTTGCCTCTCTCACTATTGTTATCAGACCACAAGAGTGGACCTTGCCAAGGCAGAAACACATCACTCGTCTGAACTAAGAGTGTTTGTTGCACAGTAGCCAAAACATTAGGACTTTCCCAAGAATCAGCACATCGCATAGAACTGCGATCGGAATCTCTGTCTGGCACATTTTAAAGGCGGGTTCGAGGATGGGAAGACCTCATTCTGATTTCTAGGTCCTAACACAGATTTTAAGGCCAGGCTGAAATGGTCTTTGGAAGGTTCACTTATATAGATTACCAAACAGCAATGGTAGCACAGTCTTTTTCTGAGGAGAAAGCAATATACTTTCTGTAGACTTGATTGGTAGAAGCAGTTTTATTATTATTATTTTTTATTTATTTTTTTATTTTTTGACAAAAGCAGTGTCTGGTTGGGAGCAGTAGAATGCTTATCTCTAATGTCTAAAGCCCCGTGACTCCTCTGCTAGCCCCACCCTCCCTGCCCATTTCCCCATCCCTGCGCCCTCACCCCCACTCCCTGGCACCAAATTCTTTATAAGTGTTTCTTCATGTGTTTAGTTGGTTGAAGTAGAAGTCTATGCGTTTGGGTAAATTTAGATAAAATTGGCACAATTTTCATAGTTGTGAAGGGACTATAATTAATACTGACTCAACAAACAGGTGCTTATCAAATGCTTATCTTGGCCGGATTGGAGCTGGGGGTTGCGGACAGGAAGTAAACAATACAAGAATAGCTTCTGTCTTTGCAGAGTTTATTACTGTATTGAATTAAAAATGCATCTGGGTCTCGGAGCTGTAAAAGTGAAGGAGGAGGGAGGGAGACTTTCCTCTTTGCTAGGTCTAGAATGCATCAGGCACTCAGTGAGTATGTTTGTTGAAAGAATAAAAGAAAGAGAGGTGTCAATCACTAGCCTTCCTCTGTCTTTTCAAATAGAGCTTGATTGTATTGAATAGACAACAAGTAGCATAATGGATAACAAAAATTGGACTTTCTGATAGCATACTCTAAATGTCATTGTATTTTATGCATTATAACATTATATTTTTGGTATTGTCTTCTTTGAGGAACTGGGGATTAAGCTCAGGTATTTATACCTCTAAGCACATACTTATACCTCTAAGCACATACATGTGCTTTACCAGGAATATATACTAGTATATTCCTAGTCTGGTTTTAAGAGTTTATTTTGAAACAAGCTCTCACTAGGCTGCCCAGGCAGACCTCACATCAGCCAGTCTCTGCGGTAGCTGGGATTACAGGCTTTCACCACCAGGCCTGGGCTTAAAAACACATGTTGTTTGTTTGTTTCTGTTTCATATTTCCCCCTCACTGTATTCTGTAGCTTTCTTCTGGTCCATATATGCAGACAACACTTCTTCAAAACTGCTACGGAGAGTCAAAGTATATTTCAGACAGTTAATGACTAGGCCTACTAGTGCTACATATTTGATTGCCTGGAGAGGTACACATATGTTAAACATGATTCTATAAATAGTCATTAGGATGCAAATGCTTGCTACATTGCATTAAGCTGTGATAAGTTTATTTAAGAGAGTTTCAAGTTGAACAAGGGTTAGGCTGTCTGTGATCTCTTCCAGAAGGGACGCGGATGAGTCTGATAAGTTGTGTTCTATGTGAACAGAATGGGCTGTTAAATGGGAAGATGCCTAAGACAGAAAGAAGGCTGCAGTGGACACATCGGTAGATGGAGAGAGATTTGCTTGGGTCAGCGAGGAGATGCACCAAATTGCAAACCTCATTTGGGAGATACTCCAGGTGCCCACTTTATGTTTTTATCTTTTTACGATCAATATTCTGTTTGTTTCTTTTGAGACAGGGAATCACTTTGTACCCTTGGCTGGACTCAGCCCTTTGATATAACTCAGGGTGGCTTTGAACTGGATATCCTCAGGAGCCTTAGCCTCCTAAGTGTAGGAAGTACAGATGTGGCTTATCATGCCTGGCCTTGTGATCAATATTTCAGTCAATAACTTTGACAAAGATAAATACAGGTGATCATATCTGTGTATACCCAAATGAGAGTGGTGTAGTAAAGATGGCAGTTGGTTGAAATTTCAAGTAAAATTTCTTGTCCAAGGCAAGACAAACAAAATAATGTTTAATATTTATAGATATGAACTTTTTAAAAACAGGGTTAGAAACTCATTTCACAAGGACAGGAAAATAATGGCTTGGGCTGTCAGTTGCTCAAATGAGAAAGACCCCAGGATTTTATTTGATTCCAAACTCAAGATGACTCATCAGCATGGAGAATACTTCCAATTCAAGAGGAGTGTGATGTGCCGGTGAGCCTGCTTACGTCTGCTGTCGCTGACCTTACCAGTCAGTCACAAAGGGTAAGATGTCTATCTTCCGCTTTATAGTTAAAGTGAGCTTAATTATTATTATTATATAATATTATAAATTATAATAATTAATAATTAAATTATTATTTATTAATAATGTAGGAGGCTATCTCAAATATAAAAAGGCTATTGTGAACACAAAAATTAGGTAATCTACATGAAAATAACTATGCAAACAGTTTTTGTCTTGTAAATGCTGAAGAGGTAGCATTCAATGGCTTTAGTGGGGGTGTGGTATCCAGGTGAAGTTCATAAATCATAGTGGGGAGACTCAGATCACTGAGTACAGATTTGTTGAAGAAGTGACTATGTCCGCTTTGTTGTTTAACGCCTACTGCAGTGTCTGACGTCTCTCTGATCTTGCAATAGATACGTTTAAAGGAATCTATCAATTTGGAATATTAGATTGCACGAGAGTCACGTGTTAGGAGATGGTAATATTCCAGGCCTATTGTAGACAAAAGAGACTAGGATGGAAAGAAATATATAGACCATTACATGAAGGAAAGATCATGCGACATTACATACATTACATGCTAGGAGAGATCTATATATAAAAATTCCCATCAGAAAATGGTATATGTTAGTAATTTCCTCATGATAGGGTATCAGAAGCAGAATAAATTAATGACTGCAGGAAGATCTTTTTTTTTTCTCGCAATTTTTCAGTAAGTGTGGACCTAAGGAATCACACAGACTTTTATTTTTGTTCTTTCAACTGTGTTCCTTCTGGGCAATCTGTTTATTACAAAATTTAGCTTCCTGTTTAGCCATCAGTGAGGAAAACTGTAAGATCTACTCCTAAAGACTTGAAGAAAAATAATGTGCACAAAGCGCTTCTTTGCTGGAAGAAGTGCTAAAAATATTTAGCCTTGCCTGTATCCAGAAGATGACACCAGGGGGCGCTGGAGACCCTTCTGGAAGAATTCAGTGCCTTCTAAGCCAGGCAAGGGACATGATTCACATTTTTTCTCCCTGCTTTTATTTTTAAGTTGTCAGCTCTACATCTGATCTCAAAGCACTCTATGTCAATGTGGGACTCAGTTAATAATTCCTCTTAGAGCCAGTTCTGGACAGTGTAACTGAGGAGCAGTATCCTGGGGGGTGAGCATGGAAGCCCAAAGCATCCTTTCCAGAATCTTCTCTTGGAAGTCCAGTTTCCTGGTGTCCAAGATACTTATGGGTTCCCAGTGGCAGCCCATACAATTTTTCTAGAGTTTCTCTCTGCAGGAAGGATGGCTTTGAAAGGAGAAAATTATTTATCTTTCGTTATTGGATGTACTCTTGAGAGAGGGTTGGCATGTGACATTTGTTATAAGTACTAGGAAACTATATATTTAACTTTATCCAGTAAGGATTTAATTAATTCCTATTTTAATCTATTTTTCCAAAAAGACATAAGAAACTTTCTCTGATTCTGAAAGGTGACACACTGAAATAGGGTCATGAAAATGTCGTGGGGTAGAACCACCTTCCTGAAATGCATCAAATCATATTGTTGATAGACCATTCAAAGTAACTTTTACCTCTTTGGCTAACAAATTAATAACAAATAAGGAACGCTTTTTGCTTTATTAAGTGTTACACATTAAATCTGTTATAGGTCGTTGAAATGACTCATTGGGTAACACTCTTAAAGCACAAACCCAATGATGTGAATTCAACCCTTATAGCCCACATAAAGGTGGAAGGAGAGAAAGAACCAATTCTAGAAAGTTGTTCCTCTGACCTTCACATGAATGTTGTGGCACTGAAGTACCCAAGTTCCTCTCTCTCTCTCTCTCTCTCTCTCTCTCTCTCTCTCTCTCTCTCACACACACACACACACACACACACACACACACACACACACACATGCACAGACACAATCATGCATGTACACACAATAAATAAAAGCTAAATTTGTTACATTTAAACCTATTTAGACACAAAAGAAAATCCTGTGTATGAGCCAACAGTGAAGATAAAAAATTATCAAAAAAGACAGGAAAGACCACCTATTATATTACTTTCTTGGGAAAAGCTGTAATTCCGGCAGCCAGTGATTATTATTAATGTGATTTCTTTCTATGAAGCTACTCATATCATATAAAGGTCAATTTCTCCATCATGGACTCTGTGTTTACACAATCGGATCAATACATTTTCATTTGCCAAGCAATATATATATATATATTGAAAAACTAATGAATATGTTTTCTTTTTGAGACAGAGTTTTGTTATGTAGCCCAAGCTGACTTCACATTTCCAATTCCCCTGCCTCACCCTCTCTAGTGGAGGAGCTCTAGGCATGGGCTTCCACTCTCAGGAGGGAATGCAAATATTTTCATTCACAGACCACAAGTCTTTCTAGTTGTCTGTGAATCTGTTGATAAAAGTTTGAGTGACAGCTAGTGAATAGAATGACTTTATTTCATAGAAAATATCCAATAAAGAGGTTCATAACAGTTATACTACAATATAACCAGGAAAGCTCAGTACACAAACACGGCTTATTTTTCAGAGAAAAATAAAGTCATTAGTGATAAGGGTCCATCCTCTGAAGAAAGCCCTTTGCTCAATGATTAGAGGTGATGTCATGAATATTTACTTCTGTTTTATAAAGTGCTCTCTAATCTCTAATTAGTATATCAGAAAATGACAAAATCACAGGCTATTTTGCATTAGCTGGATTTTAAAGAGAAGGTTCCTTATATCCCTGAATTGATCACATGGATAGGCACAGTTTTGACCTGGGAGAGATGCCAGCCTGAGTTCATTTCCTGGTTAGCTGCATAAATAAATAAAAATAAAATTGGATCAGAGCTGCTTAAGACATCTTTCAATAAGGCCGATCAGCCTGCTTGTGTTTCCAGCGTGACTTCTTCTGAGATAAGATAAGTCTTACTTACTTTGAATCTCCACAGTCCTCCGATATCTTCAGTCCTTTCGAAGCAGGTGGGCTCCAGACCCTCATCCACGCAGCACTTCAGAGAGATCAGTCCACTGACCCCTGCCCCAATCACCGCAACCTTCTTTGCCATCATCTCCTGTCAATGAGTTGGTCAGTCATTACTGCTGAACATGGACAAAGGTAAGAGAATCCTGCAGTCTGGTCAGGTAACTGACTTTCCACATGATGGGTGGTAATTTAATAAGCAGAGCTAATTGAATAAAATGCCTCACTAATCAAATCTTCACTCTTCCTCCCCTTAAGAGAAATTTGTCTGGTCATATGACCTTCATTGTAAACTTGTTTACAAGTCTTGGCTTAATATTCAAAAGGAATCCATTTGAGCGAGCCAAGTTATTCAACAAAGCAGTCCCAGGGGTGGGAGCCAAAGCTGGTTGTGTTCTCTAGAGTTCTAAGAACTTCCTCCTCTACTTCTTCCCCAGCTGTCATCCTTACCTTTAGTTGTGCTTCTTAGCACTGTCCCTTTGACAGAAGAGTTTCCCCTGAGGGTTGTGTGCGGAGAGATGGGAGTTTTTAAGAGATGAGGCTGTGAGAAGTGGGAGGAGCCCTCCCTCAGGCTTGAGCACTCAGCCAGCAGAACCTCTAAGGACTTTATTAGTATTGAAGTTATGCAAGAGATCCACTTCCTAAGGTCGGGAACACTGAACACTCAGCATTCAGGTGGCCTAAATAATTATGTTTATCATCAGTGTAGAAGATGTGCGTTAACAAATTGAAAAAAGTAGATAAATAAAAAGAAATTAAAACCACCTCTACCATTACCATCCAGAGATACCTACAACAACCAGCACTGACAGTTGGCAACTTGTTCCACTTATTATCCTATGTGTATATGTGCCCATGCACACACTTATGCACAGAGGTGGGGGCCAGAGTTTGATGTGAAGTGTTTTCTTCAATTACTGTTTACCTTATTCTTTGAGACAGGGTCTCTCACTAGCCCTGGAGCTCACCAACGCATCAAGACATTCTATACAATGAGCCCCAAGGATCCTCCTCTCCTCATGTCCCTGGTGCTTCGTTCCAGATGCATACCACCAAGGCTGGCTTTTATGTAGGTGTTGGGGATCTGGACTTAGGTTTTTCTGCTTGTGTGTGGTAAATACTTTGTTGAATGAGTCTTCATAGATCCACTTTCACTGCAAAATCAAAGCAAAAATGCAATCACACTCCAAGTCTAATTCCCAACTTAAAATTTTCACCCTACCAGTAAGTTTATACAAGGGCATTTTAAATGGTTGCATGGATTCCATTTGGCTGGTGGTGTTAGTTGTTCAGTTACTTGGTTTTGTGTGGTAGGCATTCTTTCTCATGTGGGCCTGGAGGAGCATACTGTGTCCCTGACTTCACAGAATCTTGTTCTAGTCCTGATCTGGCCCTCTTAGGCTTCATGACTTCTGGGTTTTAACACTCTGTGCTGACACACTTCCTGGCATAGGTTCATGTCTCAATTGATTTCTCTGCTCATATGTTTGCTGGCTTGCATGGACCTACTGTGACTTCTAAGATCTTTCCCTCCACTGCCCTTCTTGACCTGTAACAGGTAGAACAAGATAGACCTTGTGTGTGTGTGTGTGTGTGTGTGTGTGTGTGTGAATGCTAACTCAGAAAACTGAAAGACTCTGTGTATTTTGGATGTAGTCAAAACAGTGAAGGTAAGGCCTTGATAATAATATTGCAGAAGCCCGTTGCTAAGGAGAAACAACTAGATATGCTAGCACAGATTTATTTATTTATTTTATTTATTTACTTATTCATTTATACTTATTCACTTTACAATCTGCTCACTGCCCCTCTCCAAGTCACTCCTCCCACAAGTTTCTCCCCTCCCCCTTTCCCTTCTCCTCTGAGAGGGTGGGGTGCCCTCTGGATATCCTCCACTTTGGCACATCAAGTCTTTGAGTCTAGGGGTATCCTCTCCCATTGAGGCCAGACAAAGCAGCCCAGCTAGAAGAACACATCCCACGTACAGGCAACAGTTCTTGGGATAGCCTCAGATCCAGTTGTCTGAGGCCTACATGAAGGTCAAGCTGCTCATCTGCTACATATGGCTAGCACAGGTTTTAATGGACTGAAGCCTTTGGAGAGGATGAGCAGATGGTGTGCTTCTCAGGTGCGGACACTAATGGCACTTTGTGTCAAGCTAAACTGATACCTTTATTCAAAGCCAAAACACCGGCATCTTCTCGGGATTAGTGCCAGCTGGCAGGCTTGCTTTACAGAGCTAGTCTTGGCTGGCAAATGGTAGTTAGGTGTGGCTTGTACAGACAAGCTCTCTGGGAGAGCACGTGTGTACCCAGAGTGGATCAGTGGGCCCCTGGGCAATTTTTAATTAGTAGACCTTTAATTGTTTCAAGTTTCTGCTGTTAGAAAAGCACTGTGCACATTTTATTCATCCCTTCCACACTTAGCTAATTATTTTCTCTGGATATTTGAGGTAGGAATTGGTGAGTGAGAGCGTTTGCATTTTTGAGACTAAGGCATTCCTCCAAGTCTACTGCACACAGGAAGCACTTGCAGATCTTGTAAGACACATGAGGATTTTTAACGCTTATGAGGTGGGTCCAGATTATTTCTAACAAGGTTCCCTGTGACTCCAGATGTGCCCTTAGACCACATTCTGAGTTGTATCTTTCTAATGCTTTTAGTTAAGTTGTCTAGCAGGAAATGGATATATTTTAAAGGTGTTTTATAGTTACGAAGTGTTCTGAACTGTAAATATACTTTCCCATACATTAATTCATTTTACTAGCCTGTGTCTATAGGCTCTACCACCTACCTCTATAGAAGTGGAAATGTACTCCCTGTTACTAGGGAGTTTAAGGATAGCCAGGAGAGAAGTAAGTGTCTTACAACCTATCTTTATATTAGGAGCTCCCAAGGAAGGTTGTGTTTAGCCAAGAGGAAGTTCCCCAGTCAAGAAGGCTGACTGATGGATAAGCTCACACGAGGCAGTTTTAGTTAACGTAAAAGTCTACTTAGGACCACAGATATGAATACTCCTGAGCAACTGAGTTTACTTTGCTCTAAGGAAGAATATTCTAGCTCACAATGCTGTACAAATACAGAGAGGTGTCCTGTAAGAGGGGAGCTCTCTACTGCTGTGCATACTCAAACAGATCAGCCAATCAAGTGTTCACAGGCCACACAGGGATACAGGGATGTGTGTGTGTATGTGTGTGTGTGTGTGTGTGTGTGTGTGTGTGTGTGTGATGCATGTGACTAAGACTAGGGCTGGGATCAGAAATCTTGCTGTTATCAGTCAATGCTCCAAACGCAAAGGTACTGAGGAGGCCATGGATTGGAAAGTACTCTGCTTATTGTGTGGACTGGAAGGCCCCTTTCACAGATCCACATGGTCACATGGCCTGGACTGACACTTAAAGCGTTCTTGGAAGAGTCCACATCCCCTTCACTGAGAACTCCTGTGAGGAGAATATGCCTATCAGCCATCTTTTCTTTCTCCTTTGTTTCTGACTACCTGTTATTTATTTAGCAGACGTATTCAAACCCTGCTGCCCTTGCGAGGAGCAATGGAGCTATGCACCGGGAAGACAGGCTCTCTCATTAAATTACTTTAGAGCTCGAATGAACCACAAATCAAACTAGTTCTTCCGCAGATGAGCTAGCTCATCCGAGCTTGCTGCTTGATGCCTGTAGACCCGTCACTTCCGGTATGCCCTACATTTTCTGGGGCAGCACTTGAAAGAAATAATCCCTTGGGAGCTTCAGGATCAGCAGAGTGAACTGAGCAAGCTGGTTACTTCCTTTTTGACACTTCAGCAGAGTGGCATGGGAGACCTGCAGAAGTTGTGGGTCTGTGATAGCCCGGAGTCCGGGAAGCATCCTGAGGCCAGGCTTAGAAAGCAGTTTTATTGAGATACAATTTAAATATCATCTATTTTACCAGTGTTAAGTCAAACTCAGTAGTTTTGCTAAATTTACGGTTGCAGAATCATCACAACAACCAGTTTTAGAATCATTTCATACCCTAACAAAGAGCTTCTGTGTCTACGAGTCAGTTCTCATTTCTGCCCCTAGCCCTAGGCACTACTAATTTACTTTCCAGTTCTATAAATTTGCCTCTTCTTTTTGAGACAAGATGTTATTGTGTAGCCCTGGCTGGACTGGACTTTATTTGACAAGGTTAGCCCTGAACTCATAGAGACCCACTGTGCCTGACCCCCTAGTACTGGGATTCAAAGTGGGTACCATTGCACCTGACTAGATTAGTCTACTTTGAACATTTCATGTAATTGACTCATACAATTCATGCCTTTTGGTTCCTGGATCTTTTCACTACAACATTTTCAAGGTTCATCTATGTTGTAGCATATGTTAAGTCTTCACTAGTGTTTTTCTTATTGAGTAGTATTTTTTTGTATGGGTACTATATTTATTCAATAACTGATACTCTTTATTATAATATTCAACAAATGGATTCTATTTATTTATTCAATAATTGGTAGACTTTGGGTAGTTTCTATAGTTTGCCTATAGTGAATAATGCTGCTATATGTATTTATGTGAAATTTTTATGCTTACATATTTTTATTTCTCTGAATAGATATTTTGGAGCATAATTGCTGGTTCATGTGGTAACTCTATGGATGGCACTTGAGAAACTTCTAGGATGTTTCCAGAAAAGCTTCACCAGTTCATATCCTTGTCAGCAATGTGTGAGGGTTCTAATTATTTTTATATTCTTCCTAATACCTGTTATTCACTGTGCATCTTTTTCATTTTGCATCTTTTTCATTTATAACCATTCTAGTGGATATGAAGTGAAATCTCATTGTGGTTTGACTTACCTTTTCCTTATGGACAATGATTTTGACAATATTTAAATGAACTTGGTTACTTTTATATCGTTTTGGAAAAAAAGTCTACTCCAATGTATGCCTATTTAGTGTTAATATTGACTCTTGAGCCTTGCTTCTGAATCCTAGATGAATCCCTTAAAATGCATGATGCTCATCCATCTTTAATTCCAAGGGGTCATCTCTTCACTTCATTGGTTCTTTGAAGTATCAACATTTTACTTTTGATAGAATACCATTTATGTATGGTTTACTTTTTTGTTTGTGTAATTGGTATAATATTTAAGAAGACCTTGCGTACTTGAAGATTAGACCTTAATGAAATTTCTGAAAAACAGAATTTTTGTGATGTTGTATTGATAAAACAGAGTAGAAGTTATGCTCAGAACAGGTGGTAGAATCTGGGAGCAAAGAAGGGAGGTAGTTTTACCAGTGGAGGCAGAAGTTCGTGAATACCCATCCTTTATGAAGTATTTTCAGTGTATCACAGAATGTCTAAATTTTGCCTACAACAACTTGCTTGATTGTTCTTACAATCCTGTTAAAGGGTAAGTCTTGTTAGCTGCAGTTTTTGAGTGATAAAACCCAAGTATAGATGAGTTAAGTAAAATGTTGAAATTCATACAAGAGGGCTCTGAATTCTGGCATCTAAGATCTTGAGATGTGTTCTTAACACTTCCTCCAACTCAGAAGTAGCAGGTGTGGTGGTGATGGGTGTGTTATGTAAGCATC